TAAACCTTAGTTGTAGAATGGTATAGTTAAATCCACCAAGAAGGCCAGGGTCCTATACCATTCTACAACTAAGGTTTAGGGTTTACGGATTTAGGGTTTAGGGTTGCATCACTTTAGGGTTTGCGGCGTCAGTGTGAGGATCAGAGTTGATAGGAGCAAAGGTTTTCAGGATGACTTATATTATACAGGGTTCAGAGGTCGGTTTTTCGTGTTCTGGTTTAGGGTTTCGGGGCCTGACGGCTGCAGCCTTTCAGGGTTAGTTTAGGGGTTTAGGGTTTAAAGTTTAGGGAGTTGTCTGGGCTTTTGGACTATGGGGTTTTAGGCTGCGGGCTGGAGGATGGAGTATTGAGACTAGGGTCAGCGCTTTGGGGCTATGGGCTATGGACCTGAAAAGGCTTTCCATCAGTTATTCGCACTAAAGCCCCTTACACCTCCGCACCCCCCACAGCTGCCCCAGTATGGATGCGCTACTTTGGCTCTGCCGAGATAACTCCCAATCAGCTGACCCCTCAAAGCCCAGAAGTCCTAGACTTCCCAAACCCCAGATTGCAAATCAGCCTTAAAGGGTTTAGGGTTTAGGGTTTAGGGTTTAGGGTTTAGGGTTTAGGGTTTAGGGTTTATATCTTATAATCCTTACAGCTGTTGAGCAGGTCTACAGCAATACCACCACACCGGCTTCCGTGCTACCCGAAAGATGTGTCCCAAGCCCTCCAGACTCGTTCAGTGATCGTCCGATAACATGCACTACATTCCCGCTGGCACGGTAGGGTTTAGGGTTTAGGGTTTAGAGATTCGGCCTAAACCCTAAACCCTTACCCTCCTCGACATCCTACACTTGCTCTACTAAACTCCTGCGCTCCTGAACGCTGAGCCTTCCAAGCTCAAAAGACCAAAGACCTTAGACCAAGTCCTAAACCTTAATCCCTACAAACCCTAAACCCGAAGTCTAAACCCTAAACCCTAAACCCTAAACCCTAAACCTTACAAGCCGTAAACCCGAAGTGTAAACCCTTATAAAGATTGATTTCTTCGACCCTAGGGTTCGGGGTTTAGGTGGACTCCCACAGCCTTAAAGCCACACACGAACTTTCAAGATGTGGCCCCCACTAGAATCCTAAATCCTAAACCTTAAATCCTAAATCCTGAACCCTAAATCCTAAACCTTAAATCCTAAATCCTTAAATCCTAAATCCTTAACCCTAAATCCAACGATGGGATCGGCAATCCTGCGGCCGGCGCGGGCCGCGAAAGTCCTGGGCCTCCTGGCGCTGACATGGGCAGCCGCTCGGCTTGCTACAGGGTTGAGGGCTTAGGGTTTAGGGTTTTTTAGGGTTTTATTGCTGTAGGGGGCTTAGTAATTACCTATACTATTTTGGGAGTTCCTTAGTATAATGATACTATAATGGGCCCCTAAGCCCTATTCTAAGTATTAAGGCCCCTATATTTCGGGATTGGGGGTTTAGGGTTTAAGGTTTAGGATTTTGGGTTCCTCTTGGTTTAGGGTTTAGGGATTAGGGGTACCTCTTGGTTTAGGGTTTAGGGTTTAGAGTTTAGGGTTTAGGGATTAGGGTACATCAGGGTTTAGGGCTTACTGCTTTCAGGGCCTGAACTTCCAGGGCTTTTCAGGGCTTTTCGTTTAGGGTTCACGGTTTTAGTGGGGTAGTGGGGCGGTGTTGGACTTCATAGGTACGCTAGTAACTTTATAAGTTTTCTTCGAGTGCTATCCACCGGAAGTGAGCACTATGAGGGGACTTTGCAATGCTGGCGGCTGGTGCTTTAGAAAGCTTGGTAAGACTTGAATTTCATGCTTGCGGCGACTGCTTCCATTTTCGAGGCTTCTCTGTTTCGTCCTCACATTCACATTCGCTGTCACAGCCAGCTGTCCATCATCATCAGCGAATCATCGCCACCACCGTCATAACCACCGTCACAACCCATGTTGCCGTGATCATCACCACCACCACCATCATCGCCATCATCTTCTGCAAGCTTCAGCATCATACCCTAAGCTCCACAACCCATAGGCCGTAACCCTCACAATCCTTCTCGTCCCTAAACCCTAAACCCTAAATCCTAAACCCTAAACCCTAAACCCTAAATCCTAAACCCTAAACTAGGCCCTAAACCCTAAACCCTAAATCCTAAACCCTCGCTTTCGCAGCATTCAAGGCCTGGGCTATCTGCACCCTCGAGAGCGAGGCCCGGTCCCAGGGGGTTCCTGTCAAGTTTAGGTCTTTGACGCGGTTTAGGGTTTATAGAGTTTAGGACACCAAGCCCTACGCTACACTAACCCCAAAATCATCACGGCCTAACGTATATAGACCTCAAGCCCTACAGCTTCCTTCCTTGGTTTGTGTACTGAAGTGCTTGGATGTGGTTTCCTTTCCCCTTTTGGTGGGAGCCTCAGTCTGGAGTTCGAGGTTTAGGGTCCAGGGTTTGAGGTTTAGGGCTTAGGCAGGGATCCCTGAGGCTACGCAGCCAGGCTCCCCCGAACTCCGGCTTCCGATAGCACCTGCAGTTGGAAAAGCACCCGCAAAAAGACTTCGTTCCTATTGTTGAAGAATCTATACCCTAAACCCTAAACCCTAAACCCTAAACCCTATAAACCCTAAACCCTAAACCCTATAAACCCTAAACCCTAAACCCTAAAGCCTAAACCCTAAACCGGGCCCAGAGTCGACCACCTCAGGTCGGATGGTTCAGGGTCATGTCGGGGCCTAAGTTCTTATTAGAATAGGGATTTAGGGTTTAGGGTTTATAGGGTTTGGGGTTTAGGGTTTAGGGTTACCCTAAGCCCTAAACCCTGTTAGACTAGGGTTTTGGGGGTTCCATAATATAATCATGGCATAATATACCCCAACACCCTATTGTAATTATTAAGGCCCATATGTTAGCTTCTTGACGCCCGAGGTCTTCACGCATCGAAGTCCATAGTTTAGGGCTTATTTGGTTTTGGGCGTATTGGGCTTAGGGGTTTAGGGCTTATTGTGTTTAGGGTTTAGGGTTTAGTGGTTTAGTGGTTTAGGGTTTTGGGGGTTTAGGGGTTTAGGGGTTTAGGGTTGACTGCCCTTGTAGATCTCGGTCTATTCAGACTGCAGGATCGCGGAGACAAGCGTTCTGGAACCACCCATCCTAATCCCTTTCAGGATTTAGTTATCCTGGGCATTGGAATTTAGGGCGTTTAGGGTTTAGGGTTTAGGGCTTAAGCGCCTTTCTCCAAAACTGATCCCTGGACCCTGTAATTCTAGCCTTCAGATCCTACGCAGTTTGCAGGTCTTCCAAATTGAAGCTTCGGAACCCTGGTTCCCTACACCGTTTCCAAACTTGAATATGACTTCCCATCCAAGCAACACAGAAGCCCGTTGCCGAGTCATGTGCATGATAAGTCGGACCTGGAAAAATAACCCAGTCATTCAACCAGGGACAAGTTTACGACCCAATCTACTCGCAAACCATACCAACTTGAATATATCTATCTATCTATCTATCTATCTGTCTGTCTATCTATCTATCTATCTATCTATCTATCTATCTATCTCTCTCTCTCTCCCTATCTATCTATCTATCTATCTATCTACCTATCTATCTATCTATCTATCTATCTATCTATCTATCTATATGTGTGTGTGTACATATATACATACAGACATAAATTGCAACCCGCATCTTCAAAGCAAAGCTCACGCAGCCGCGAGGCATGGCTCTCCCCGAAGTCGATCCCTCGCCGGGTGGCAACTGGCCCGCGTGAGTTTTGGGTGTTTGGGGGGTGTCAGGGTTTAGGGTTTAGGGTTTAGGGTTTAGGGTTTAGGGGATTTTGGGTGTTTGGGGGGTGTCAGGCTGCAGGTCCGAAGGCCGAAAGGCTTGAGCTGTCTACCTACATAGGCCCTACATTTTTGAATAAGTATATACACATAAATCTAAATAGACATAAATAAATACAAGCAAATTTAAGTATTAATATGTATACATATATATATATATATATAGACACATACATACATACATACATACATACATGCATGCATGCATACATACATACATACATACATACATACATACATACATACGAATATATGTGTAGCACACCTGTGTGCGAAGTGACAACTTCATGCTTTCATCAAAAAGGTGGATCTGCTGAATGCGCTTGAATGCGAACTTGTTATATATTACCATGTGGCCTACTCCTCCGCCTTCTTGGACCACGATGCCTACTGCGACACCTTTGCCATCGGCACCTACGCCGAACGTGGCGTTCAATCCCACCCCGATGCCACAACCACGACCGCCCTGGCAAAACAGGGGTGGCGACAAGGGAAACAATGGCAAGGGGAAGAAAGAAAATTCGGCAAAGGCAGCAAGAAATAGGGACAGCACGGCCCAGAGTCTCAAGACTCTGGAGCCGACCATCGAGACGAACACAATGACAGTCGAGTGTCCACTCTGTGCAAAAGTTTAGTGGGACACCTTCCTCTAGTACATCTTTCGTTCTTCCATGGGATCGGCATTGGCTCGGAGGCTCTACGACTTCTTTGCGACAATATCCTGCTCACGCTCTCTTGGGAAACCGACAAGGATTGCGCCGAGTTTGTGCACATAAGGTTCGCGTCCATTCCGATGGGGGATGTGACGCATTTCGACATCGACAAAGTCAGTGATCTAATACACACGAATGTAGGACAGTACCAATTCATTCTCCTCATCGCTGCAGGTCCCCCTTGCCCCGACTTTTCCAGCGTGAGACGAACTCCACCCGGATGTGATGGTGACTCGGGATGGCTCTTCCAACATACGAACACCAACGGACATTCAATGGAAATCCGATCGAGACAGTCATCGAGAACGTCGTGCCGCACAGTTCCATACGCGACGACCTACTCAAAACAACCGCTCGATTGGCCATGGACCCTATTATCGTCGATGCGGCAGACGGCAACAAGCTGGTACGCCGAAAACGCCACTGGTGGACATCGGCGGATTGGAACGATATCGAGATCAAACTATCGAAGTGGTCTCCGTGGTCACTGACCTGGACAGCAGAAGACGGATGGAATCGATTGTACAACCCGATGGCTGCCGATCTACAAGGATCGTTGGTGTCGAAGGGTTTCTCCGTTCCCAGCTGCCTACAGCACGACAATAAGCTTTTCCACTGTCTCACCACACCATCCACCGACCCACAAGGACGTACGTCCCCGCAACCACACAAACACCGTCAGCTCTCCAATGAGACCTTATGGCTGACAGATCATCATCGATACCCACCGTGGCAGTGCGAAGAACAGTTCCTCGTTCAATGGTCAGACGGTACCTCGTCGACGGTACCTACGGTCCTGCGAGAACAACTCCAAGGTCTCCCACCGGGGTACACCGAATCCTTGGTTTCTGGCGACGAGACACGCCGAGACATCCCATCGGGTAACGCGTGGCATCTGCCCACAGCGATCTGGCTGCCGTTCCTTGTCTTGTTGGGAACGGCAGAGGCCGGCATACCACGAAGTCCCCACGAGTCAGCATTGGCCAAGGTGATTAACCTTTGGAATAACACCAGAGTTCCCTTCGGCCCGCCATCTCGGGAAGGACAACACGATCATATGCCGCAATACTCCTGGACAGAACACCTGGATTGGGCGATACACCGCAACCGAACCGTACACCAAAGACACTGCATCCAACCTTACAATGGTGCCTCGACCGCTGACGGTTGTTCCACCCGTTGCCGAGGTTCCAACACGCGGTCATCTCCGAGATCCAGAACCTCGTACACGAACTCGAGGAGTACACGAACGCCTGGTACTATACATTGCCCCCTCATGTCCAACGAGCATCTCAACATGGGAGATCAGTCACGCAGATCCCCGTATTGAGATACCTCCTACGACTTCTACGTTACCCACAAACCGATGTCTTGTTTCGGGAGCTGTCACAGGGATTCCCTCTCATGGGCAAGCTGACACCCGGTGTCAACTAGCACATTCGACAAGACAGGAAGTACTTCGAGCCGACAACCATCGAAGACTTGCAGAAGAACAGCCGCGAGTACATCACCGACAAGCTCAACAAGAACAACATCGATGATCACTAGGAACTCATGCTCGACGAGATCATGACCGAAGTCAAGCTGGGTAGGATGAACGGCCCGTTTGCAGCACCGGACTGGTGGCCCACCAGTGCTGTCGCACCTCACCGACAGGGTTTCGATGATTTGTTCCCTCCCTTCATCGCTTTGGCCTTCAGCATCGAACAGACTGGCAGCGATGGCAACACCAAAATAAGACAGGGCGAAGATTGGCGACGAAGCGGGCACAACTCCACATGTACAATGCATGACCAACCCTACCGCCACACGCCGGACCACTTCGTGTCCCTTGAGCATTCCTCGACGATCGACGAGGTATTTCTCTGAGAGTGTGGGGGCATGACCACGATGGAGCATACCGCCAAATTTCTCTTCAAAACCCACGAGAAGCCTACGTACTTCTCTTGACTCCGATGGGACCCACGTTGTGGAGCCACAGTGTTCTGCTCTTTGGTTCGGCAGCTAGCGTTTGGTCCTACAGCCGCTTTGGCGATGTCCTCGTGGCTTGTAGTCGGACGATGGTTTTGTCACCGCGCTTCATTACGTCGATGACTACGGATCCATGGAGGACCAGATGTCAGCGGGCAGCAGTTTCCGAGCTTTCGAAGATTACAACGGTTGCCTCGAGATCTCTATGAAACCTAGCAAACGACAACCGCCCGAAGTACCACACCGGATACAAGGGGTCTTGATTTCATCCGACGAGACGAACCTCGTTCTCACTCCTTGCCCCGAACGTGTCAAATCGATGTGCCAACAGATCGACAAGCATCTCGCTGAGAATCGCCTCGCTCCAGAGGAAGCGAGAAAGATGGCAGGCAAGTGCAACTTCTTGACTGGCCGCCTGTTCGGCAAAGTGGTCGGGCACCTCTCAAAGCTTTTTATGCCCGCGCCAACTCCAGCACTCACAACCGCGATAAACCCACGAGATACTCCGCAACATAATTTCACATTGCAGGCCGATGACTATCCCCCGGAACCCTGTAGCATCCCACTACAGCGTCATCTACACCGACGCTTACTTCAAGTTGGGAGAAAAGTCTACCGCCCAGGCGACGAAGACCTTTCCACTTGGAACTCCGAGGCAACGAAAGATATCGAGAACGGATGGGCCGCGGTGTGTTTCCACCAAGGTGATGTACACAATGCGGCTTACTTCCAAGGCAGACTACCATCCACTCTCCTACGGCAATATTCCTCCGACCAGGCGTTTATCTACCTTCTCGAGGCCTGGGCAGCGCATTGATCTACGAACCCTGGCTCGATAGCTGCTACATTCAATGTCGCGACAATGAGGTGTCTCGACATGCCTTGATTAAGGGAGTAGGCAAACATCAACCCCTTAACTGCCTGATTGCAGCGCATTGGACATGGCACAATCGCCGTGGCCTCGCACACAGGTTGGAGACAGTTCCAACCAAGGCTAACATTGCCGACGCTATTAGTAGGCGCCACGAGCGGTTCTCTTGCCATGGCTGTTGCTGCCTTTGTTGTTTTCACGTATGGCCTACTACTTTTTGCTGAAGCTCGGAGACAATGGCCATTACTACGATAGATGCGGTTGCACCTTCTTGCTTGTACGGCCCCGTTGGGGTGCCGCAGCAACCTGGCCATGGACATTCTGCAAGTCGCGCAAACGCACAAGACTTTTTATTCGATGCTTGAAAATGGTTATGCCCCTCCCAGGCGGGCACGTCCGCACCCACTTCCTGGGGGATTTCTCGCTCATGCCTGGGCCATTTCCCGTCCTTTCGGCTGGAAGCGGGTGAGATTGCCGCTCTCTGCGGCTGTCGCTCCGACGTACTACAGCACTGGTGATTCGCGAGTCAATTTCATGATATTTGTGGTTTATTTGGTTTGGTTTCCCAACCTCTTTGCACCTGCAGATTGTCCACACTGGAGGGTTTTCAGTGAATCAACTACATCAAGGGCGGCCGCCAATTGGCCGACGCAGAGGTATTACCTTTGCCAGGCAGGACGATGCGCTTAATGTGCCTGCCTTTGGCGGTCACACTTCCCAAAGTAAGTGGTGCCAGATGGTTGCTTCTTCACGACATTTCTGCCTGCAAAGCAGTATTGGGCTACGGTTTTCCGCTTTTGCTGCCTGTTTAGTTTTTCCACTTCTGCGCTTGTGCACTTACAGTGATGCGAGACGAAGGCGTCCATGGACAACTCATTCCCTCAATATGCTCTCCTTGCTCGGCCCGGTCCCAAGTCCGGGGGTCATCTTGGTATCAGTCAAGACAATGCAAAAAGTAGGCCTCTTGATGACCGGCGTGAGGGTTCTGACGCGTCCACGGTGTCACAGGAACCTAGCTCACCATCTTTACTGTTGCTACAGCTGGTGGGGAAGCATGTGGTTGGCGACGAAGCTAAGGGAGCAGCAAGGGCTGTTTTTCTTCCTTTAGCCAGGTTTAACCAATGTGGAGCTGATCATTTTGCTGTCTTTGGGCCGTGGACACTGCAAGGAGCCGTCGTTCGGCCCTTTCGTCTGACTTTGAAGGTGAAAAGCAACGGGGCCTCCGCTGTTCTCTGAACGTGGGGTCGTGCCGACGGCGTTTTGATGCACTTGTCAGTATGGTGTCATACCCAGCTTTTCGCTGTGAGCTGCCTGTTTACTTTTACTCGCTACAGGCAAGCTGGCCGACGCAAGCG